CGTGGATTTTCGAGGGCTTGCGCGATGAATTTCGCGATTCCGACGCCATATTATGTTGGCCACGCATATATGGAACGCGTATGTGCGAAAATTGGAATTTCGGTTCGGGATCGGAAAATTACGAAAATGCCCCTAGGCCATTTTTGATTAATTCCGAAAATTGGATTTAATTTTGGGATTAACCAAGGTGAGTTAAGGTTAAACCAGGTCTGGTCAACCATGGTTGGGGACAAAAGACCATTTTATCCCTAAATTATTGGATTTGATCAAATCTAGTCCATTAGATCAAGGGTCAAATGGGCTTAGATCTTGACACTTGGACTCCACTTTGACCCATTTGACCAGATAGTCTTCTCTCTCTCTCTCTCATTTTTCTGTTCTGCCGAGAGCTTCCCCATTTCCCCCAATTTTTCTCCCTTTTCTTCCATTTCCGGTTTTGCCGGTGTACGGTTCGCAGGTTACGCAGCACATTCACGCCGGAACAAGATGCACTGGCCGTCTTTGTCCCCGTAGAGCGAACCACGAAGACTAGTTCCACCTGCGTGCAGCCACCACTGCTCCCGGGTATAGTCCAAAACAGCTCTCTCTCTCTCTCTCCTTTTTCCCTCTTTTCTCATTTTTATGTTTTACAAACGATGCACGGAGCTTCGCGGAGCTCCGATCGCCATTCCGTCGACACCCGGGCCTCCAAAGACGTCCATACGTTGCCGTTCGGCCTAGTCCGTATAGTAACCGTACGATTCTTGTTCATCGTCGCACGATCACTGTTCATCCAGGACCCGCACGGCGTCGCCAGTAGTGACCGGCGCCGCTGCCATCGTTCCAAATGGCCCGTACTAGTGTCCGTATGGGGGTCTTGTTCACCCGTCCGTACGGGGTCTGCATTCACCCGTCCGTGTGGGGGAGGGGGTTACTGTACACCGTCGCCGGGAATTCGCCGCCGGTTGCACTGTTCACCAGTGATCGGCCGCCATTCCCCGTCGTCGTGACCTTTGGATTAGGTGAGTAAAATTCCTAAACCCGGATTAGGATTGATAGTGCATTTTTCCTGGACTGGTTTAGGTATTATCGGTACATTTTGGACTGGCTTAGATATTAGCAGTGTGTATTTGAGACTGGGTTGAGGACCGATTAGTAGAATTTATTATCGGGAAAATTTAGTGGTTTAATGAGAATCGTTGGGGAGGATAATGGGGTTTAATGACCGATTTAGGAGCTAGTTGGTGAAATTGCCGGGTATGCTCGGATTGACTGATGGTATGTAATTCGTGCTTAATTGTGATTGATTGCGTACTGCCATGTCGCATGTTGTGTGGCTGCATTTGTGGAGTGCGATTGGCCACTGTTTTGCTTGTAGTTAATTATTGAGTTGTGAATCGCACGTTGGGCCACACGGTATTAATTGGGCCAATTAAGCACGTGTTGCGACATGGGGTGTCTAAATTACATTGGTGCTTGTGGTGCATTGCATTGCATAACATGGACACGCATTGTGTATGCCAAGAGTGAGGCATGTGATGAAATTGTGCGAGAATGCGTGTCTGCCATCAGCATGTGATCACTTAAAATACCCTGAAGCGTTTTACGCTGGGTTCAGATAATAATGAGTTGTGTGATCACCTAAGGACCTTCGGGTCATGACCTACGGGTCGATACCGTCCTCATGCACTTTGAAGCGGGACGATGCCACGGTACGTCCCGGAAGGCGACCATCCTCATGCACTTTGAAGTGTGCTCGGTTCGCAAGGAGAAGCAGTGTTGCGCCTCATGCACTTTGAAGTGTGCTAGAGACACGGGTCGGATCGGTTCTTTGCGCCTCATGCACTTTGAAGCAGGGCTAGACGCACCGAGCCTTGAAAAATTGATGACTCGAGTCGTAATAATAATTAATTTGGGCAAGTGTGCCAGTGTGGGCCAGTGGACCAAAGAAATGTGCATGACATGTCAACGACATTTGCATGCATAAACATGCATTGATTGGCATGCGAGTGTGTGAGACTCGGTGTGTGAGCATGTGATTGACATACGTGTGATTATGCGTGCCACGCATGTGCCGTGATTATTTTATGTGGATCTGCCTAACCTGCAGGGTCAGATAATAGTTTGACTATTGTGCTATTGTGATTTGAATAATTGTTTCCAGTCAGGAGATTGCATGCTAGCCTAGCCTAGGTTTAGGGATTGAACTCATTGAGATTCGTCTCACGGTTGTGTAAACCGAAACTTTTCAGACCCCCAGCCGTAGGATGCCGAGGAGAGCGCCTCTTTTTAGTATACCGCAGTTCATCTAGCGGTCATCTAGTGTGCACCCTTGTGGGGACGGACTGCGGCCATGGTCGAGGAAGGCCGAGGAGCCGAAGTGTTTTTCATTGACCCCTTTGACCGTAGTGGTGGCCGATCGTGTGTTTCCTCCGCTTTGTTGTCTAAATGAATTGTGTAAAAAGTTTTCTTTGGTACTACTAGTATACATACTTTCAGAGGTGTTGTTTGCTGGTTGTGCTACCTTGGCCTCATGTATTTTATTGTCAGGGTGTATATATATATATATATATATATATATATATATATATATATATATATATATATATATTTATATATTTATATACGTACTTCCGCTTGTGCTTGATCTCTGTTTGAGTTTGGGTCGGCGACGCTTCCTGGGACGTCGCAGCCAACTTATCGACCGCATGTGGGATGCTCACGCTTCGTGGGGTACGGGGCGTGACACTTGAGGCCTAACTTGCCCGTTTGAGTCCTTCTCTGCCTAGGTCTTTTCCCGATTCTGGTACTTCTACAACTCTCTCATCTGCTGGAAGCACTGCTGCAGCTACTCCACCTTCAGGTGATATTTCTACTACTTGGGTACTTGACTCAGGAGCTGCTAGACATATGTCTACTTCCGCTGTTTTTCTCACTAAGCTCTCTGAGCTCAAGCAACCAGCACATTTCTTTACTGCTAATGGTTCTCCTCTACTAGCTATCCGACAGGGTACTCTTACCGTCCTGAAGATTTCAATGTCCTTTATGTGTTACATGTTCCCTCTTTGGCTCTCAATTTATTATCTGTTGGACAACTCACCGATGCTGGATGTACTGTAAGCTTTACAAATAGCTCTTGCTTTGTGCAGGATCGTTTGAGTGGCAAGATGATTGGCAGGGGCAGTAGACGGGATGGACTTTATATTATGCAACATCTCCATCTTCCAACTTCCTCTCTTCCTCATCCTGTGTTGGCTACCCTCGATCTTGTTCGGTGGCATCAGCGTCTTGGACATATTCCGTCTTCTCGTCTCACCGTCCTTCACCAACAAGGTGCTTTGGGTCCTATTTCTTCTGGTAGTCTTCCTCCATGTTCTATCTGCCCTTTGGCCAAGCAATCTGCTAAGCCTTTTCCTCTTAGTAACTCTAGAACTAGTGCGATCTTCGATCTTGTTCATTCTGATGTTTGGGGTCCTGCCCCGCTCTCTTCCAAGAGTGGTTTCAAATATTATGTATCTTTTATTGATGATTATTCTCGTTATACATGGGTCTATCTTATGCGTCAACGTAGTGATTTCTTTACCATCTATCAGTCTTTTACTTCCATGGTTTCCACACAATTTAATACAAAAATCAAAGTTTTCCGTTCAGATTCAGGGGGAGAATATCTCTCTGCTGTCTTTCGTTCCCTCTTAGCTAGTGATGGTATACTTCCTCAGTTATCTTGTCCTGGGGTTCCAGCTCAAAATGGAGTTGCTGAACGAAAGCACCGTTATATTCTAGAGACCACTCGAGCTCTCTTACTTGGCACATCCGTTCCCACTGAGTTCTGGGCTGAGGCTCTTCTCACGGCTGTTCATCTAATTAATCGCCTACCCTCATCTGTTCTCCATCAAGACACCCCGTTTCAGCGTCTCTACTCTCAACCTCCTAGCTATAATCATCTTCGAGTTTTTGGATGTACTTGTTTTGTCATTCTTCCACTCACTGAACGTACAAAGCTTACCGCCCGCTCTATCCCATGTGCATTCTTGGGTTACAGCACTGAGCACAAAGGTTATCGTTGTTATGACCCAAATGCGCGACGTGTACGTATTTCTCGTGATGTTACGTTTCATGAACACATCCCTTTCTTTTCAACAAATACTACACCTCATGTTTCGTCTCCTGTTCCATTTATGGATTTTCCTGTTGATCCTCTACCTGATCCTTCTAGTCCCTCTTCTACATCGGATCTAGATATATTGCCACCTTCTCCATCTTCACCTATCTCTTGTGCTGCACCTCCTGCTGTATCTGCCCTCGACGATTCTGCACAACTAGAGCCACGCCGTAATCCTCCTTGAGATCGGCGTCCACTTGCCCGGTATGTTGCTGCTACTTCTTATTCTACTGAGTTTGGATCCTTTTTAGCTGCTGTTCATGCTGTACAAGAACCTAATAGTTATCGCGAGGCAGTTCAGCATGTAGAATGGCGCCAGGCTATGTCTGAGGAACTCTCGGCTTTGGAGAGTACTGGTACTTGGGAGCTTGTGCCTCTTCCTCCAGGTCGCTCCCTCGTATCTTGTCGATGGATATATAAGATTAAGACTTGTTCTGATGGCAGTATTGAGCGTTACAAAGCTCGTCTGGTTGCTCGAGGTTTCTCGCAAGAGTATGGTATCGACTATGAGGAGACCTTTGCTCCCGTAGCAAAGATGACATCTGTCTGTGCTTTATTAGCTGTTGCTTCAATTCGCAGTTGGCCTCTCTTTCAGCTTGATGTGAAGAATGTTTTTCTTCACGGTGATCTTAAGGAAGATATCTTTATGCAACCTCCGCCTGGTCTTGCTCATACCTCTGGATAGGTTTGCCGCTTGCGACGGGCTCTTTATGGTCTCAAACAGGCCCCTCGTGCTTGGTTTGAGAAGTTCAGTGATGCTATTCAGTCTTCTGGTTTCATTCAAAGTGAGGCTGATCATGCTATGTTTGTTCATACCTCTTCTTCAGGCTGCACTATTCTTCTTCTTTATGTTGATGATATGGTCATCACCGGAGATGATCGTGACCATATTGAGCATACCAAGCGGCACCTTCAGCAACATTTTGCCATGAAGGATCTAGGACCACTGCGCTATTTTCTTAGACTTGAGATTGCTCGCAGTTCACGTAGTATTCTCATTTCTCAGCAGAAATATACCGCTGATATTCTGTCCAGGGCTGCTCTATCAGATTCACGTACTGCTGCCACTCCTATTGAGCTAAATCAAAAGTTTTGCTTAGACGATGGAGAACCTCTTTCTGATGTCACCTACTATTGGACCTTGGTTGGCAGTCTTATTTATCTTACTATCTCCCGACCCGACATCGCCTATGCTGTTCATGTTGTCAGTCAGTTTGTTGCTGCTCCTCGAACAACTCATTATGCGGCTGTTCTAAGGATTCTGCGCTATCTTCGAGGCACTTTATCGCGTTCCTTATTTCTACCAATCTCTTCTGCTCTCAAGTTGCGTGCCTATTCTAATGCTGATTGGGCTTTCAATGTCACTGATTGCAAATCTATCATTGTTTATTGCATTTTTCTTGGCGATTCACTTATTTCTTGGTGTTCCAAGAAACAACATATTGTCTCACGCTCTTCTACAGAGTCCAAGTATCGTGCTATGGCCGACACTACTGTTGAGATTGTTTGGCTTCGTCGCTTACTTGCTGATATGGGAGTTTCACTTCTGGATCCTACTCCTCTGCATTGTGACAACAAGAGTGCCATCGGTGCAAATCCAGTCTTTCATGAGCGTACCAAACATATTGAGATCGATTGTCATCTGACTCGTCATCATCTCCAAGCTCGCACTATTTCACTTCCTTTTGTTGGGACTGAGAATCAACTTGCCGATTGTTTTACGAAGGCTCTTACATCACAACGATTTAAATTTCTTCTTTCCAAACTCTCGTTATTTGATCCACCTTGAGTTTGAGGGGGGGTGTTAGAACATGTTGTATAGTTTTGTAGGTTTTTCTTTACATCTCTTCTTTCTCTTTGGTCCCACATAGGAAGAATGCTAGGCTCCTCCACTTCAGGAACATTGAGAACCTCTTTATTACTACTAGTGATAATAAGCTTACTTCCTTCACCGAACCAATCGCGCTTGCCCATAAGTGCATTCAAATGATTCTTTTTGTTGACATCATCGAGGAGAAGGAGAAGCCTTTTACAACACAGCCAATCTTTAATCATCTTAATCCCTTCATCTGTGTACTTATATCTGTCCATTTCCTTTTAAGGATGTTGGAGATAAGCTGATTCTGCAAGTACTCAACACCCTTCGCCACCGAAGTTTCTTGAATGTTAGAAAGGAAACAACACTACTCAAAATCAGGTGAAAGTTGATTGTAGATGATTTTAGCAAGATTAGTCTTTCCAGCACCAACCATTCCATGGATACCAACAATCTGTGCTTCATGTGTCTGAGGGCAAATCATTCTCATTATTTCACCCACGTGATTGTCTGATTCAACCAAACAATCCGATAATACAAATAACTCTTTTTCAACTAACTGAAAACCTTCTTGATGACTGTTTTCACAAAGTCACCTTCGTGCCTGATGTTTTTGGAGTTGAAAAACACATTGAATTAGAAAATTGGGCTGAACAACGATTTGTCTGGCCAAACCAAATTAGAAAACTTAAACACCCTGTTTGGACAGAATCCTTTTGAAATTATACGAGCTCAATAATGCTATTCAACAAGAAAAGGATGAAAGTGGACTTATAACATCTAGTTAAGCTTAGAAAAAGTTAAATTCCAGTGAAGAATGTCATTTTTGGCATGATTTCTGAATGATTTCTAATTTTTTAAGAAATACATTCAACTTCGATTCTCCAAATAAGACAAATTCAGCAAGGACTAAATCAGAATTGAGTTGCATTTTGAGGATGCTATTGCGATAGTTTTAATCTTTAGAAGTAATCACCAGTTGGGCATGCTTTGTAGGTCCCATCCCTTTAGTGTTCTGACTTCACTTAGAGCAGCCTTCCACTCGCTAATAGTTACATCATTGTATGGCCTCTTGTTTTCATGCTCAAGGAAGGCTTGTCCATACCCGCCAGTCTGGTACCGGACCTCAGAAGGTTCCACGGTATAGAAAATGGGCATGATTTCTGTCCCTTGGTTTTCTTGCACTCCACCATCTGCACCAACTCCTTGAGACCCCATTTGCTAGAGGCATATCGTCTTGAGAAGATGGGTATGGAGATTCTCAACTGCTTGATTGCTCAGAGAAGCTCCAAGCCAATCTCTTCCCCATTGCGCAGCTCTTTGTCGTCTCTGTAAGCACAGATTCCTGCATCAATCAGGCTGATGTAAAGGAAGTCAGTAATACCTAATCGAGTGTCTGGTCCTCTAAAGAACACCTCCTAGTCAAATCCCCATGAAACCACCCTATTCTGAATTTCTTTCCAGTGTATACACAAATAGCCGGGTCTGCTGTTCCGTTGTTTACAGCTGCTCCATTTTTTAGTACCGCCATCTTCAGTGATGCCTACTCAAATTCTTCTCTTGAAGAAATCCTTGAAAAGAATGGCAGAAAAGACAATCACCAGATATGACCAATTAGAAGCTAGTTTGCTAGACACGGTGATACTGTTTCAATAGAATATTGCAAGGTAATTTGACTGTGACAAAGTCAACAATGCACAGTATACACTCCATTCTTTTCCAATGTACAGCCAAACAGTTGTTATCTTGTGTTTTTTAGCATCTAATGCATGATAGAAGGTTCATCAGCAATTTCGCGGATGATTCCAATTTAATTTTTTTTCAATAATCTAGTCGTGGTGATTGTGAGTCCCCTCTGTCTGGGGACGAATGGAAACAATATATCAGCTTCCTATGTAAGTAATCTATCAAAATTAGGACTGGCACATGGTAACATTGTTACGCATCTCAGAAATAACGATGTCCACATTGAATGATTCTTAAAAAAGTATTAGCGCTAGGATCCAAGCTCATGGATCATACGATTAAGAAAAGAAAAGGCTCCTCTCATATCTAAGCACGAAAATTGGGTCTTCCTGGTGTTGGTTCTGGAGATGTGGCCCTCCACTTCCAAGAGACAAACAGCCTCAATTTTCTCTGCCAAGACTTGCAGACGTGTAAGACCGTTAGTCTATAAGAATTCCGAGCAGAATAAAATACTGATGCACTGCTATTCATTCGATGTGTTAAAATGAATATGAAGTGCCAATACTCCACCATTGTTTCAAGTTTAGCTCGACGTTCATTTGCATTTGCACAAGTGAATTTTTTTTAGTACTTAGCCTCCACGACTCTTTGATCATGATTTGATCACCTTATGTGATTCAAGGATCCTTTTGTTTTCAACTTCATCTTCTGATAAGAGTGTAATGTCGCAAGGTGATAGTAATTCGAGGAGTGATATACAGGAATAATGATCATCTCTCCAACCGCAATGCATACTATTAGATCCTATACAATACAACCAAGGCTCCAACCCTTAAGTCTGTTCTCTGTTCGGCAATTGTTGGCGTCAAGAACTGAACTACATCACAGTAATTTTTAAGTAACTAAGGCATAAAAGGCTGGGATCCTGCTTCTTTGATTCAGTTGCTCTTCACTACTTCTCCAGTTGCTAAATGAGCCACAATTTCCTGCACAGAAACATGGTTCCGTCATTTTTGTTAGGAGCTAACCATCTCAATCAGAAAACCAGCTCAAACAGGCAGTCTGAGATGTTTGTACTTCTTGGTGTTCACGTCAATGTTTAAATGCATAGTAAATGTATCAAAATCAAGGGAAAAGAACGGGTTTTGTAAATTAGCATAAACATCATCCGCATCAAGACATATGTCTACGATCCTGCACACATAATCTTATGATCCTGAATGCATGTCTCTATTATTAGAGCTCAGCAGTTAAATTCTCAGAGATCTATTCGAGTACCTCATTAGGAGCCAAGCCATTTTCGTTCTCCCTCAATTCCTCTGCCTTTCCCAGTCCAGTTGCATTCTTACCTTCCACCACCACTTGACCGTACTCGCCCTCCTTGACCTGTTCATGCCGTGGAGAGTTGTACTCGGAGGAGAGCCCCTCGGACAAGATCCCTTCCAGTGCTTCCTCGTCTCTTCTCGGAGAGAAGTAATGATCCGGCGAGTCTCGGGATATGAATATCCCTGGCTCTGCCTCTTCCTCTTCAGCTACCGGTTCCGTCTCCGGCTCTAGCTCCCGCTCCAGCTCGATCTCCCTTTCTTCCTCTACGTGTTTCTCTTCCTCTCTGTCTTCATCCTCGGCCTTTGTTTCTTCTTCTTTGCTCTCTTCTTCCCGTTCGGGCTCGGGATGTTCCGTTGCATCCTTAACATCAGCTGCAGTTCCTGTATCCTGGCTCACCACATTATCGATTTCTTGCTGCGCAAGTAAAGCTGCGTCATTCCCAATTGCTTCCATCCGAGGGACGTTCTGTTCCACTTGTTTGCTCTTCTCGGGATTGGCGCCCGAACTCCTGCTTTTGGTAATGGTGTTTCCGGTGGCGACATCATGCTTCGACTTCCCGCAACTCATTTTCGTCAGGAAGAATGTCAATCGAAAGGAATTAGATTGGAGGATTGATTCTCTGTCCCTTTATGCATCAGATTGCAATGAAGTTTCGGCTTTTGATTTCTTCGTCTGTTGCAATTTTGATTTTGCTTGAGCGGTTTATCTCCGTGGTGGACAAAAGGAAGGAGTTTTTTCTGTTGTGGATTGAGGATGAAGAGGAGACAGTTGCAGCTCAAGTTAAAAAGGGGAGCATTTCCCCTGAATCTAGAAAACGACAGTTTGTTTCTTATTATCGGTGTTTTGTTTTTTGCCCCAACCCAATCTTACTGTGGAACGAAAAACTTACTTTACACTTGACATTGGCGTACATCTGACCAAAATCCAAAATTTGAAAAGACCAAATTGTCCTTTCTCGAAAACATTTTTTAGTCTCCAGCTCCACATTTGAGTGATTTAACTTTTATGGGTGTAAGAATTTAGGACCTGAGGATAGACATTGTTGGAGAGAAAATCACATTTTCTTTTTACAATAGGAACACGACGCTAATTAATGTGGAAGTGCAAAGTGGTCTTCAAAGGTAAAATTCGTATATGTATTTGGTATTTTAAAATTAGAGCCATGTAATAAGTTATTGGATGAAACAAGATATGTTTTTTTTTTTATATATTTACCCTATATCGATTGACCTCTTGAATCAAAATTCATAGGGCCGTCAAAAAATGAAATTGTTTGCACTTAATTGCGTAGGAAATTGAACTCGTGCGATATTCCAAATCCACGTGCAAATCCTTTCCTGAACCACTAAATCGACATGGACCTAGAGTAAGCATGTTAGAAAGCTAAATCTCATCTTTTTCATGAAGATGAATTGTAATAATGTCAGTAAATGAATAATCAAGACATTATCAATTAATCCCACAAATACTTTACTTTCAGATGGAATTTGAATTTCTCTCAACTTGCCATAATTTAATATATTTTTTGGCTAAATAATAAGCATTTTCTAAACATTTATCCTCTCTACATTATCTTAAACACTATCTTCTTCCACTTGAGAGTGTCATTTACAAAAAGTTTTCGATTGTTCCGCACCGTAAGCGGCCGTGGACGCCGCCGCAGGAGAACATCAGTGCATTACTTCTTCCTCCTCCTCCTCGTAAAACCCTGAACAAGCCAAAGAGAAAAACCTCGCTCATCGCACACAACACGACCACCTCGTTGATTCGATCGCGTCGAAGCCATGCACGCCGCCTCGAGAGCTCGCAGGCTCTGCCGCATTCTCAAGCCTCCGGTTCATCTCGGCTCCGCCGGATTCATCCCCCCGAACGACCACCAAGTCGTGGAATGCGCTCAGATTTGTGCGCAGGCATGTCGAAACCGCGGCTCCTCCTCCTTCTCCCCCTCCGCTGCTGCTCAGGCCCTCGGTTTACGCAGGTAGCGTGCGCTTCTCGTCCGTCAGAGGAATTTCGACGGTGGATTGTGGATGCCCGAGTGATGGTTCTTTGTTAGTG